GAGCCAGCAAAAACTCAACTCTCATTTTAAATACTTCCCAGACGGCTGTCTCTGGAGCCACACCAGGTACTAAAACAAAACTAGAGATAGAACAGGGCTCACTTGAGATGTGATGCTCAGACTAAAGTGGGCAGCCTTGGATAAGATACTTTGACCTCATCTAGTTCACTCTCCTGAGAAAGAGGCACCTGCTGAAAACTGGTGAAAAGATAAAGAATTTACAAATGCACTTCTGTCCTCAGCCAAGTTTTATAAGTACTATGCAAACGCATGGCTACTGAATCCAAGTTTACACAAACCTGTAATAGATGACCCAAATCTAGGCATCACCCCTTTATCACTCACGTTCCTCACCCAACCCATCTGCCTCCAAAACATATGCAGATTCTGAGCAGATTCCCTTCACTTCACTAGCAGAACTCTAGTCCAGGGCACTTTGACCACATTCCAGCAGCCCCCCCATACCTCTCCCTGTCTCTTTTTTATTTATTTATTTTTTTGCAGTACTGGGGTTTGAACTCAGGGTCTACACCTTGAGCCACTCCACTAGCCCTTTTTTGTGATAAGTTTTTTCAAGATATCATCTCACAAATTATTTGCCCAGGTTGGCTCCGAACAGAAAGCTTCCTGATCTCTGCCTGGAGTAGCTAGGAATACAGGTGTGAACCACCAGTACCCAGCCTACCTCTTGTTTGGACCCTCTATGTCCCATCATCCACACAGCAGCCCAAATGATTTTTCTCAGGCATAAATCAGATAATGTCACTCTCTGCCTTAAAATCTTCCAGTGGACTTTCACTGAACTTGGGAGTAAAACCCAAACTCCTTACTGAACCCTGCATGACTGCCCACAGCCTGCTCAGCCCCTCCTTTCCTCATCAGAATAACCCGGTTAGAATTCAAAGCAAAATTTAAAAAAAAAGAAACAACACATGGCACTTTACAGAAAACTTCTGTGGAAGATGGCAGACTTCTCTGTAGCTAATTTCCATCCTTGATTTACATGCATGACTTCTCCCAAGGTTACATAAGAAGCCAAACTCAAGTACTTCAAGGCAAAACCAAAGATCTGAGAAATGTATCTGATGTGCTCAAACCTCTTATTTACTGCATATAGTCATATGTACAGAAATAAATATTAAAATCAGAGAGTAAATATGGCTTTTCAAAAAAAAAAAATCTCAGCTCTTATTTTTTCTTACTGTTTGTAACCTTTCTACCTGATAGCAGGTACTGTCAAGCAATATTACACACGCTGAACTTAGCGTTGTTCTCCGGTAATGGACCATCAATGGTGTCTTGGCCCAATGCTGAGTCTTGATATGAAAGGGAAGCAGTACGGTGCCAGCTGCTAGCCCTCAGGCTTTGGAATCAGAAACATAGATCCAATCACATTTACAAACAACTAGTATAAGGTCCTATGCAATTTACCTTATTTTAATGAGAATATAGTATTTACTAGTTCCAGGCAGGGTTATAAAATACTTTACAACTATTACATGATTAAAAGAAATGTAGTATTATTATACTATTTTACAGATGAGCAAACAACCCAGTGAGGTCGCTCAAGGTCACAGCTACTCAGTATTAGAGCCAGGATTCAAACCCAGGCAGACTGATGCCAGTGTCCATATTATTAACCATTATACTATTTCCTCCCTTTTTTTTTTTTTTTGTGGTACTGGAGCTTGAAATCAGGGCCTTCACCTTCAGCCACTTCACCAGCCCTATTTTTGTGAAGGGTTTTTTGAGATAGGGTCTCTTGAACTATTTGCCCTAGTTGGCTTGAAACCATGATCCTCCTGATCTCTGCCTACTGAGTAGCTAGGATTACAGGTGTGAGCCACCTGTGCCCAGCACACTGTTTCCTCTTTAATCTTGTTTCTTCAACTATAAAATAGGGCTCATAGGTCTGCCTTACCCCAAAGCATCATAAACTATTATTGGGACACACTAAGGTAAATGTTTGCTATTATTAGTGACAGTAGTAAAGTCATCATTCTACCATCTACCTTTACCTTTGGTTCAGCCAGAAGAAGAAAAATATTTTGGCTGAGAAAGATCTCAAAGTCCTCTGCAGTTGGGTACATTAGAATACAGTGGACTTCCACAAGAACAGGAACTGCCTTCTTTACTTGTCAATGTTTCTACTGGATATGGTGGTGGTGCCAATACACACGATCCCACAAGTACCTGTCTGCCTGTAATCTCAGCACTCAGGAGGCTAAGGCACAAGGATCATGAGTATGAGGCCAAACTGGGCTACAGTTAGACTCAGTCTCAGAAAAAAAAAAAAAACATAAAAAAAACAATATTTCTGAAGCAAGCAATGGATTCTCAGAAAGTATATGGGGAAGAAGGAATGACTATCAATAGGGCTCTAAAGACATGACTACTAAGGTAGTAACCATCACTTGTCAAAGCACAAAATAGGTAAATGTCAGAGGTTCTCAGAGGATAGGGTTAGTTGGTCATTACTTGAGACAGCCTGGCTGCTGGGAGGCAGTAGTATAATGCAAAGTGCATAATTCTGTTCATTCATTTCAGTTGAACACATATATAAGGGGACCTAGATTTTAATCCTGACTCTGCTACAGCCAGTCTCCTAGCTTCAAGGTCTTAGTCTCCATCTATAAAAGAGGAGGTTGGACTACCAGGTTGTAAACACATTCTACTTGCTCATCACTTTAAAATAGTCCAAGAACTCTATAAGCATTTGTTTAACAAAGATCATCACTATCTAATAGATAACATATTAATGAAGTTACAAGCTCAAGGTCACAGGATCAGTGTAGAGCATGAACTACAGCCTAGATCTCCTTCTATCATCATTTTATCATTCATGCTTTCCGAGATCCTGTTCAGTTAAAAAATGTGACATAACTCCTTTCTTCCAAGCTCAATAAGCCACTTGTTCTACCAAATAATCTTGTCTGTCTCCATTAAATCATAGGACAGCAGGATCAGGAAAAAATTATTTCCACATTACTAAAGAATGAAAGGACCTGAAGAAATAATTAGGTGTAAATCCCTTGTCTTTGCCCAAAAAATTAGAGGTATTTTCAGATACCGGAACTGGGGTTTGAACTCAGGGCCTACACCTTGAGCCACTCTACCAGTCCTTTTTGTATTAGGTATTTTCGAGATAGGGTCTCTCGAACTATTTGCCCGGGTTGGCTTCCAACTGTGCTCCTCCTGATCTCTGTCTCCTAAGTAGCTAAGATTACAGGTGTGAGCCACAGGCCCCCAGCTTTCAGACACTTTTAACATTTAAATTTAAGCAATGTGATGAAAAATAACTTTAAGTAACAATGCTTCCTGAGATTACAGCACTGTAACTTCTTCATTAAACCTATATTGAAAGTTGTGCTGCTTGATTCAAAGAAGAGTCACAAAGTTAACAAAAGTTGACAGAAGTCAACTTGCTTTATTAACACAATACACAGTTGATATTGAACTCCCGAGTATAACACCTTCTTAGGGTTGTCAAGTTAGGAGTGAAAAACCATCTGACAGTCACAACGTTCTAGATGGCTCGTAACAGGAGAGTCAAGGTCAAACTGTTGAGTCTCATTTTCCACCTAGTATTTGAAAAGTACCTAATTTAAAGCTTAAAAGACTCCATTCTGTACTCTCACAAATTCAAACGTCCACACCCCAACTCAGAAAGTTCTGTGAGGGTTGGCTGACATGAACAGGAGAATAGAGGGGTTGTAGGGTCACTGCTCAGAGTACAGCACTTGGATGACACTCATGAGAGCCAGGACTTACATCTGCTTTTTTGCAGTTTTATCACCTATCAAATAGGGAAGCTCATCTGACGTCTATCTCACTAGATGAATATATGAGTCAGTTTACATTCGAAGGTATAAAAAAACAGTTCTAAAATCTGGTGCAAAAGTGAGATACTATGGTGATACTGCCGATTTACTATGTCAGGTCCAAGAACAACACCTTCCATTCTCGACGCTATGTTCCAAAAAGTCCTCAAAAAGTGGCATAGGATACTAGCTTCTGCAGACTCCAGGCCTGGTGGATATAGCAGAACTATGGCTAGCAACTCTCTGTTGCTGAGGAGAAAGAGAAGGCTTCAGCAACTGGACCTAAATGTCTGCACAACCACCGCGCCCCCCAGTCACCTTGTGCTCACCTTGAAGCACAGAAAGACACACGAAGGAGTGGGGAGTACCGTTAAGAGAAAGAAAGAAGGGGTGCCTCTACTCTTCACCAGGCCGCTGCTGCTTAGACCCACTCTTTTCCCCGGGCGGAGATAGGGCAGGGACGCTGACTGGGCCAGGGACGCCTTGACCTAGGGGTCAAGGAAGGACTGGGCGCGGGCTCTCGGCCCGCAATTGGAACAGGTACACGAAAAATCTAACCGAGGTCGGGCCCGCCCTGCCAGAACTCTCCTACCGCCGCAGGCACAGTAGAAGACACCCCGCCCTCGCGCACCCACACAGTCCTAAGCTCGCTCACCTGCAGGCGGGTCACCAGTAGGCTGTAAGGCGCCATTTTGTGCACTGACAAAGATGAGGTCGCGTGAAAGTGACGTGCCACACTGTGCATTTAAAGTTTTTTGGAGGGGCGTGGCTTTGACAGCTATGCGTCACGATGAAGGCGGAGTCTCCATACAGGCGCGAGAGCCCTTCAAACGCAGTGGGTGAGGCTCATGCGTAAGCCTGGGAGCTGCATAAAAACACTTGCAGAAATATGCGTGAGGCCCCGAGTTCAGTCTCTAGCACCAGAAAAAAAAGTGTTTCAGAAGCAAATACAGACACAAAGACGTTTAATTCAAGAGTAAACTTTGGTTATCTGAGCCTTACAAATCTGGGAAAGGTATTTTTTAAAGGCTTTCCTGCATCTTCTAGGACCTTGCTGTCCAACGACGACGGAAACTCGCGAGAGTGGAACGGGATTTGGTTCATCTATGGTAAAGTCTGATGAAAGCTTCGTGGGCCAATCACGGCGAAGTGGAGGTAGGAACAATGGGGTTAAAGGTCGAGCGGAAGTTCCTGGAGCTTCCGGTAGCCGGCTGGTGTAGAAGTTATGGCTAAACATCATCCAGATTTGATCTTCTGCCGCAAGCAGGCTGGTGTTGGTGAGACAGTGCCCTGCCTCGGGCTGTCTGAGTGCGGGTGGTAGTAGGATCTGGGGAACTAGGAGTTCCTGTCTCCTCCCTAGGGTCTTGGCTTGAAGGTGCCACGTTTCCCGCTTCGCTGTTTAGCGCGCGTGGATTTGTGGTCTCTGGTAAAAGAGGGCGGGGACGTGCGTCTGGAGGCTGGCGGCTGGGTGTCTGCCGTGGTCCGAAGAAACTGTAAGATTGCCCAGGAGCTGGGAGGGGACTCGAGGCTGTGGGGTTGATTCAGGTTTAAGCTTAGGTGGATAAAATGGCCATGACTGCAGTCGTTGAGCCTTTCTCCGCCCTCAGGTCGAGGATGTACTTTCTTGCTTCGTCAAAACTTTAATTCTAATTGTTCTTTTTACCGTCTTTGATCTTGCAGCCATCGGAAGACTGTGTGAAAAATGTGAGTGGAACACGCCCTCCCACACTCCAACCCACCCTACCCACTCAGTTTCAGTGGAGCCAGAAATCACTTATTCTCAATTGTACCACAAAGAAGGCTTTGAGTAGATATGCCTAGAAGTATGTGAACACTGAATGCTGGCCTGCAACCAAAGGCTCCTTTCATCTCCTCGTTCCATCTCCCACTTTTTTTGGGGGGGAGGGGGGTTGGAAGAGGGGAGTGAGGTTTGAACTCAGGGCCTCACACTTGGAAAGCAAGCACTCTACTCCTTGAGCCACTCTTCCAGTCCATTTAGCTCTGGTTCCTTTGGAGATGGGGCCTCGGGAACTATTTGCTCTGCTGGCCTTAAACCTGATCCTACACATCTCAGCCTCCCAAGTAGCTAGGATTACAGGTTTGAGTCACTAGGACCCAGCTAAGCAATTTCTTAAAAAGTTGAACAAGTATCTACCCTAGGACCCAGCACTTTCATTTTTAGGTATTTATTGAGGAAAAACAAAAATGTCCACACATAAGGTTTATACAAGAATATTCTTAACCAGAGTATGAAAAAAAAAAAAAAGATTATTTTTAGACATTGTAGTCATAATAACCAACACTGGAAACAGTCCGGCTGTCTGTCATCAGGATAAACTGATACATACATATAATGGAAAGCCCTTCAGCAACAAAAAGGGAACAAGCTACTTATAGATGTACTAAGGATTAACGTTCTGGTTATTTTGGAGATAGGGTCCTGCAGATTATTTGTCCGGGCTGTCCTTGAGCCATGATCCTCCATCTCAGCCTCCCAAGTAGCTAGGGTTACAGGTGTGAGCCACTGATGCCTGGCATATGTTTAGGTTTTGAAGAAATGTCTAGTTTTGGAAAGGAAGAAATTCCCAGAGTAATACATCTCCTCATATATGTGTGTGTGTAATTTTTTTTTTGCCAGAACTTATAAACATAGAACTTTTCAGGTACTGTTCCAAACCCTGAACATAGATTGGTTAATTAATTTTTTATATGTGTTAAAAGAAATTGGGATAGATTGTCTTATGCCACAGTAAAGGAAGTCCCTAAAGTCACTGTCACAGGAAGACTGGTATATTAACCTGACAACAGGAGAAGGGCAAAGGACTTGAAGAAGTACTTGGCACTAATAGTGAAATAATTTCATTTTCTTTTTGCTATAGGTGATGGCAAGTGCGTGATCTGTGACTCGTATGTGCGTCCCTGCACCCTGGTACGCATATGTGATGAATGTAATTATGGATCTTACCAGGGCCGCTGTGTGATCTGTGGAGGCCCTGGAGTCTCTGATGCCTATTATTGTAAAGAGTGTACCATCCAGGAGAAGGATGTGAGTGTATACAGAGCTTTACATCAGAATTTTCTCCTTTTATTTTATAATTTTGCTACCCACAGCAACTTCCCCTGGTCTCTGGAGATTATGATGTTTAGCTAATCACGTAGATTATAATCTCTTCAAGTGCTGTGAGCCAAAATGGGTGTAGTCCAATAAAAGGCAGTTATTCTACATCAAGGGTAAAAATGCAAGAGAAGCAAATCTTTGTCAACATCAGCAATTTGGAGAGCCCTATCTCTATTACTTTGATGTTTCTCTGTGATTATTCTTATTCAGAAACAACATCCTACATTTATAAGTTCAAACAAAGTGCATGGTGTATAATAGCCACTCAGTAGTTCTTTTCCTTTTTTTCTTTTTTTTTTGTGATAGGGTCTCAGTATATAACCGGATAACCAAAGCTGGCCTAGAACTTGAGATCCTTCTGCCTTAGCCTCATGAGTGCTGGGTTTACAGGGGTGAACCACCATGCCTGAATCTACTATCATTAAGGACTGTTTGGGTGGATTGGTGGCAAAATTGGACTTGGGATAATTCTAGCTGATTTTAGTTTTTAAGTGACTAAAGTACACCTTTCTGTAATATTAAGGAATTGTGGGTCTTCATTTTTGTCCCTTACTTATTATCATTCAGCTCCCTGAGTCAAAGGCCAATAGAGACAGCTTATAAATCAGTGTCAAAGGCAAGTTTTACCCTTATGGTTCAGGGTGGGGGTATGAATCAGCTTATTTTCTTATGAAAAAATATAAGGAAGTATGATGTAGTCCCACTAGGCTAATAGCACAGGATTACCTAACATAGGATAAGACAATGTGTATATAACTTCATAGTCCCATGAGCAAAGTATAAGTAGTTTGTAGATATTATCTCCCTTATTCCTCACAGTGACTTTGTTAAATAGGGGTTATTATTATCATCCCCATTTTTACAGTCCTTTTCCCAGCTAATAAGAGACAAAGCAGGCTGTCTGACTAAACCTTGTGGTGTCCACATTACACCATGTTGTCCTTCATAAGTTCTTTTGGGTTTGTGCCCATTTTAATGAGAAACAACCCAACTACCTCATCAGTCTATGCAATTGGAAGCTGCCTACCTCCCATAAGTGAGCCAAATAAGATTTTTTTTCTGTCTTTGTTTCTTGGGATTTGGCACGTTTTTCTTGGGATTTTGTGCATTTGTGTATGTGGATTTTGGTTTTTGTTCAATGGGACTAGGGTTTGAATTTAGTGCTTCACACTTGCAAAGCAGGCACTCTACCACTTGAATCATGCCCCCAGTCCATTTTGCTCTGATTGTTTTGGAGGTGGGGTCTCACAAACTTATTTGCCTAGACTGGCCTCAAATCTTAATCCTCCTTATCTCAGCCTCCCACATTGCTAGGATTAAAGACGTGAGTCACTGGTGTCTGGCTTTTTCTTTTGAGATAGGGTCTCCTATATATATCCATGCTTGGCCTTCAACTTGAGATTTTCTTGCCTTGGCCTCCCAAGTGCTGAGATAACAGTTATGCACCATTTTGACAGTCTTAAGACTGTTTCTTGCACCATCATCTGTTGTTTACAAAAACAGATGAAAAAGGTCATAGATTAAGTACCAAACCCAGTTTTAGTTTGTGACTTAAGCATTCTTCTGTCCAAAACTGATTTGCATTTACCTTTGGTTGTCAGATCATATTCTGCCTTCTACAAGTGTGGGTCTGGTCCACTAAGTAGATTGTACTCCTTTAGAACAGGGATGTTGCTTCTTGTATTTGTCTCTCCTTTTCCCACATCTCCGTATTACTGACTCATAGTCCATGTGTGATTGTGGGGTTTGTTTGTTTATTTGGTGCTGCCCCTATAAATTATCCATAGGAGGCTCCTCTATAGATACACAGTAGATTCTGCTTTTTTTTTTTTTTTTTTTTCCAGTACTGAACTCAGAGCCTACACTTTGAGCCACTCCACCAGCCCTTTTTTGTGAGGGGGCTTTTTGAGATAGGGTCTTGCGAACTATTTCCCCAGGCTGGCTTTAAACCTTGATCCTACTGATTTCTGCCTCCTGAGTAACTAGGATTACAGGCGTGGGCCACCAGCAGCTGGTAGTATTGCTAATCATTAATAGTGTATAAGTAATGAAAAGAAGGTACTTTTTTTTTTTTTTTGGTGGGACTAGGTTTGAACTCAGGGCTTCACAATTGCAAAGCAGGAGATCTACCACTTGAGCCACACTTCTAATCCCAAACAATTTTTAAACTAGATAAAGAGTCCATTTAAGGACAATACATTCTTAAACTTTTACAGAACTATAGCAAGTTTTTATCTGGCATAAACTTGTAACCAGAGAATGCTTAATGTTTATTGCTTTCTTGACTTATCTGTATGTGGTGTAACCAGATACCTTTGAATCCTTATGCCTCATTCTGTCCCTGAGAATTACTCTAGATGTCACTCCCCTACTTCACATTATACAGGAACATTCTGGGGATATTTGAGATGGCATTTAGCTCACATCTACTCAGCAGTAGTTTCCAAGGAACACAAAGCAGTCCAGTGACATGATCCAGCCTCTCATCCTTACAGATCATCATGTAGATGAAGTGCCCAACATTTTTTTTCCTATGCAGAAATCTTCCTTCAACAAAAGCCACTCCTATTATTGTTCTCTGCTTCCTGCAACTTTCATAATTTATATGGAAATTAGGCCAGTAAGCTAAGCCAGGTGACCTCATTTATAGGTTTTACAAAGCCACAAGAGTAGCCAGGAACCAGAGATACCTGTGATAACAGAGGACTAATTCATAGTTTCTTATTGTTCATCAGCATATTAATCCTCTTAACCCTTGATTCCTTTACTTCCTTAACTTTACATTTTCCTTACCTATCCCAACCAGTTAATAAGAAAAATCCCAGTAACATTTATGGGGTTCTTTTTTTTTTCTTTCACTGGTCCTGGGAATTGACCTTAGGGGTCTCACTCTTGCTGAATGCCAGGTACTGTGCTTAGAAATGTTAAAGCTACTTGGCCCAAGGTTACACAGCTAACAAGTGGAAGACCCAGGACTAGAACCTACCTCTGTCTAACCCAGTGTTTCTCAACTTTTTGTTTTGGTTTGGTTTTCTTTGAGGTACTGGGGTTTGAACTCATGGTTTTGCACTTGCTAGGCAAGTGTCCTACTACTTGAGCTACACCTCCTCCCCTTTTTTCCTGTAGTTATTTTTGAGATAGGGTCTTGTTTGTTTGTTTGCCCAGGCTGGATTTAAACCATAGTCTTCCTGATCTTAGCCTCCTAAGTACCTAGATTACAGGCATGAGCCACCAGCACAGGCTCAACTGTTTTCTGTTTGTTAATTTGTTTTTTCATTATCTCCTATCTATTTTTGTTACTGTTTTGGTGCTGAGAATTGAACCCAGCTACTCAGGAGGTATAGGTAGGAGGATCTCAGTCCAGGTGGGCCTGGCAAAAGCACAAGACCTTTTTTAAAAAATAAACTAAAACAGAACCAGGCCTCATGTCCTTAGTTCTCATGGTATTTGGGAGAACTTGGGAACAGCCAGGAAGCCTGTGAGAGATGTGAAGAAAAGAACAAATTCATAGTTTAGGCAAAGAAACAGGAAAACTGTTTGTCATTAAGAGGAAAGGCTGAAAAAGCCCAATAGGGTTGTTGGGATTTAATCTAGTGCAGAGGTTTCAAGTGTTTGTTTTTGTGGTACTGGAGAGCAAACCCAGGTCTTATAGCAATGTAGAGTCCTATCTTCAAAAAAACAGGACTGGAGACATGCTCAAGTGGTAGAGTGCCTGCCTAGAAAGCACAAAGCCCTGAATTCAAACCCTAATACCACCAAAGAAAAGAAGTGTCATAACTTACTAATTATCTGAGATAGATTCTACTACTTACAATCTATATGAGACTTCTTAACTGAGGCACAGGTTAGCTTATCAGAAGTAGGAATAGCCTGGTTCTTGAGCCTGCCACCTTCACTTAAGCTCAGGGAGGAACTGTTGTGGGGGCAAGGGGGGCGGTATGGCCCAACATTACCTGGTACCTCCCAAGAATTTCTAGGGCTCTGTAAATACAGTTTCTAAACATTGACCTTCTCCAGCCCCTAGTTTTACTATTGATGTATGAGTCCAAAGACAGATGACTCAATAGATGTACAAGGCCAGAGTCTGTCATATCACAGCATTTGTAAATGTTGAAACATCTCTAAAGAGTTTCAAGTGCTGTCATGTTAGGGTATTGGGGTTTTTTTGTTATTTTTTGCAGTACTGGGGCTTGAACTCAAGACCTACACCCTGAGCCACTCTACCAGCTCTTTTTGTTATGGTTTTTGTTTTGTTTTGTTTTTTTGAGATAGAGTCTTGAGAACTGTTTGCCTGGACTGGCTTTGAACTGCGATCCTCCTGATCACGTCCTGAATAGCTAGGATTACTGGCGAGAGCCACCAGCACCTGGCTTCTGTCATGTTTAATATCAGGTTTTTTTTAAGTTAGAAAAAGACAGCTAGCTCCTGTTTTTAAAACTTTTTTTTTTTTTTGTTTCTTTCAATTTGTAATTTTTACAAAGACTTTAAATCTTGTGTTAGGCACCCATAGATTATGCCTATAATACTTGGGAGGCTAAGTTTGGGAGGATTATGGTTTCAGGCCATCCCAGGCAAATAGTTTGTGAGACCCCCTCCCCATCTCCAAAATAACCAGAGAAAAATGGACTGGAGGTGTGGCTCAGGTAGTAGAGCACCTGCTTTGTAAGCGAGAAGCCCTAAGTTCAAACACCAGTCCCACCAAAAAAAAAAAACTTATTTACATTTCATGTCAGCCCACCAAAAAGAAGACAGCTGTATTAGAAATGAGGTGGCTATGGACTTGGTTATTTCATACTGTGGCCTAATACCACAGAAACCTAATTTTTTGATATGAGTGTCTAATAAAATCAACAGGCTTGTGAAAGCTTTTCCAGCTGCTGCTTCTCTTTCTTTCCTCCCATCATCCCAAATCAGCAGATGGAGTCATCATTCATGCAGCACGCTGCTTTCCCAGGGGCTTCCTTGAAGTCACTCAAGCTTGCAAAATGGCCAGGGCAGCATGTCATTCCATTTCAGAGAATTGACTATCAACAGCCATCCCTAGCACAGGAACACTCTTCTTCTCTCCCAATATCATGTATCAAAGTGAATTAATACGGACACAAAACCCAAAATTCTACACTGCTTAAAATGTAAAACACTGGGGCTGGTGGTACAACTCAGTGATACAGCGCTTGCCTAGCACACGTGAGGTCCTGGGTTCCATCTCCAGCACCACAAACAAAAAAAGGAAAAAATTAAGGGGCTATTTCTAAGCCTTCTCCTTTAGAGTATCCTCCTTTCTTGAGAGAGGGCAGGAGGACTAGATGTTGATCTGCAGGTAATTATTGCCATTTCTTAACCTCTCACTTGAAGAAAATTCTTTGGGTATTTGAGTTTCAGATTCTACCTGAACTGTGTCATCCCAGTGCAAAAGTGGTCTGAGAATCCAACATTCTAAGTGTAATTGCTGTTGCTGTATTTAAACGTATGTGGGCCCTCAGGGTATTTTAGGTGTTTTTTGGTTTTTTTTGTGGTACTTCGGATCGAACCTAGTGTTTGCATACTAGGCAAACACTTAATCACTGAGCTACATCCCCAGCCCTATTAATAAATTCTTGATGATGGATCAAATACGATACCTAGAAAGATGAACAACTAAACCATTAACTAAAAGCTATAAAATCATCTTTGAAAACTCCTAGGAGCCTAGGGAAGAAACTGTGCTGATTGATCTGGACCTTCCAGTTAAGGAGAGGGGTATTTAGACACATTTGCAAACACATTTATTAGGTTCATTTTTTCATTTTGGGGGATGCTGAGAATTGAACCTGAGGCTTTGCTCGTGCTAGGCAAGTGCTCCGCTACTGAGCTACAACCCCAACCATTAAATTCCTCTTGATTTAAGCTCAAAGAATTAATCGGCTTCTCCATTTTATTTTCCAGAGGGACGGTTGCCCAAAGATTGTCAATTTGGGGAGCTCTAAGACAGATCTATTCTACGAACGCAAAAAATACGGATTCAAGAAGAGGTGATTGGTGGGTGGTCCCTTCCTCCCCCCATCGAGCTGCTGCAGCCGCCAGAAAAGATGTCTACTACTACCAGCAGAAAGGGAGCAGGGCATCCCCAGACTGCCTGCTATTGCATTGATACCTTTCCACCCTTTCCTTCCCTCACCCAGACAGGTGGGGATGGAAAAGATCCCTCAGAGAGCACTCTGGCAGACTATAAAATGTATTGGTTAGCTCATGGGAATAATATCTTTCAGTCTTCTGTCTGAGAAACTAACTATGAAGCTACCCCAGTGAAAAGTGTGTTCTTGCAGCAGCTCTGATGGCAGTTGTCCTTGATGACCCCTAAGGTGTGGCGGGAGCCATCAGAACAATAAATGTGATGTGAGCAGTTAGTCTTGGAGCGCTTACCAGGTGGTGCTGGTTTCTTTTCTTTTTTTTTTTTCTGAGAAATTGGAAACCCTTTCTGTTGCTATTGTTTTAATAAAGTTGATGTTTATTTTCTGGTAGTCTGTCACCCTTCACATTTAACTTAACTATAGTAATTTATTTTAGCTACCCAGGAATTGGAAACTTGAAATAGATGTAGTGGGATTCATGAAATACCTTGCCCTTTTACTGCTACTGGAAGGCACTCAAAGCCACCCGTGCTTTTCATTGTAGGTAATCAAAGTCATTTTTAAAAACTTAGGATTTTTTCCTTCCTGTCTTAACTTTAATTCTGAGTGGAAGAGATGACTTACATGAAAAGAATCAGACAATTAAATTGATGAATTTGTATACAACTTTATTTCATAAAGTGCATGTATACTCACATTGAGGATATGATTCCTTCTGAGAAACAATTTTAAGTAAATTCACTAACTAAAGAGAAATAATGCACTTGCCTTAACTCAACTCTCATGTCTGCTGGCGGAGGCTATCAGCAGGTTATCCTGAAAAGGTGGATTAGCAGCTTGAGGTGTCCAGTCAAGTGGGTCTTCAGCAGCATAGATTTGAAAAGGTGTGGGGTCCTGAAGAATCAAGTGACCTGGCCCAAGTTCATACTGCAACTTAGCAGCAAAGCCAAGGAAAGAAACGAGCCTTGTGACTTTCTGTCCAGGGTTTTGATTTGGGTCAAAAAAATTTGATTACTCATAATGTACTGAGTGTCCACACTACTATACTTTCTGCCTTAATAGAATGGAATAAGAGACCTGACAGAAACAGTCCCATTGCAACCCAGAGAATGCACAATGGGTTCTTGGCCTGGCGTGACAGGCACCTCAAGAAAGCACAGGAAGGTCATAGCCACAGGGCTAAAGAAAATCCTGAAGGCCTTCCAGATGTTTTGCCATCCCCATTTTCTGCACTCTAGCCACTGGGGCTCCTTTTCAGTTCCTCAGCTTCTGCCTTAGTGCATCTATTTTTTAGCCTGTTGATCCCTCTATACTGCTTTTCCCTACCCTTTGTTTCTCAGCTAACTACTTCAAATGTGAGCCAAGTATGTCTCCCAGCCTGCAATGAAACTTTCTTTGTACTTCCATGTAGCATCGGATGTGTTCTTTGAAGCCATTTAGTGATTGTTGACTGTCACCTACTAAACTTCTGCACAGCAGATCATAGTCTAGTTGAATGAATTGGAAGTGTTGAATAAGAAAACCAGATAATAAACTGCACATTGAAGGATATATAGGAACCCACAGGCAAAGGCACAAGGTAGCCAGGTGCCAATGGCTCACTTCTGTAATCCTAGGTACTCAGAAGGCAAAGATCAGGAGGATCACAATTCAAAGCCAGCCTATGCAAACCGTTCAAGAGACCCTATTTCAAAAAAACCCTTCACAAAAAAAAAGGCTGGTGGAGTGGCTAAAAGTGAAGGTCCTGAATTCAATCCCCAGTACCACAAAAAAAAAAAAAAAAAAGACAAGGTGTTCCCGGGTGATGTGTTTCGGAAGTTCAGAGCAGTTCTAGAACATCAGGTGGTTAACAGACATCTTCAGTTCTGTAAAAAGAAAGAATAATGAGCTCAGCCAACTGTACACCACAAAAATTTGGGATGGTCTTAATTGTGTTCATCTTCATTATTGAAATAAGCACTAATACCTACATGGGTCTACTTAAAATAACTAAATTTATGGTCAGCTTCAGAAAGCCATTTCCTTTCCTGAATGTATGATTATTACTACTGTTATTTCTGCTGTTATTCAGTTAAGTACTTAGTGTTGTATTCAGTTGTAGGCTCTTAAAAGGACTAGTGTCCTACCGTTTCCAACTTCCCACCTGTGTGCATGCTATACAAACATGGAGATTTTTTTTTCTTGGTGGTCTGGGGTTTGAACTCAGGGCCTCACACTTGTTGGGCAGGCACTCTACCACTTGAACCACTCTGCCAACCCTATTTTGTGTTGAGTATTTTCAAGATAGATCCTTGCGAACTATTTGCCCATGCTGGCTTCAAACCTCTGTCCTGAGTAGCTAGGGTTATGGGCGTGAGCACCTGCCCACATTTTAAATACTGCTTTTTTTTTTTTTTTTTGTGATATTGGGGTTTGAACTCAGGGACTCATGTTTGCTAGGCAGGCACTTTTATCACTTAAGCCACTCTGTCAGCCCCCAAGATGGGATCTTACTATGTTTCCCACACTGGCCTTGAACTTGCAATCTTTCTGCCTCAGCCTCCGAAGTAGCAGGGATTATAGGCACGGCAGCATTGCATTTTTTTTTTTTTGGTGGGACTGAAGTTTGAACTCATGGCTTCATACTTGCAAAGCAGGTGCCTTGTCACCTCCAGTCCATTTTTTGCTGTGGCTATTTTGGAGATGGGAGTCTCTTGAACTGTTTGCCTGGGCTGGCTTCAAACCATGATCCTCCCGATCTTAGCCTCCCAAGTAGATAAAATTACAGGTGTGAGCCATCAGCGCCCCTGGTAGCATCTTTTGCAAATACTCTTGTTCAGAAAAAAAGTTGTAACTAGACATGTGTAGTCTTTACATTCAGATTTGTGTTTGAATTCTGCTTTGCTATTGACCTTCAGCAAGTCATTCAGCCTGTTTCTGGATAATAATACCTACTTCTTAGATGGTGAACATTAAATTTGACTACGAGCCTCACCATAACTGAGAAGGCTTTATATAAAAGTGTTAGGTTTTAGCCAGGAATAATGACATACTGTGTGTAATGACACAGAGCTGTAATGCCAGCACACAGCAGGTTGAAGTGGAGGCAGGACTATTGTGAGTTTGGGGCTTGCCAGACTACATAGACTAGGTCTCAAAAACAAAACATAAAACAACCTCACTGTTTTTGTAGCAAACAGTGGGTGCTCAGAAAGCATGTGGGGAAGTAGGAATGAGTTGACTGCATCAATTGGGCCCTGCAGACATGACTACTAAGGTAGTAACCACTTCTCAAATGTATTTAAGCACAAAATAGCAAATATTAGGAGGTTCTCAGAGGACAGAGTTAGCTGGTCATTACCAAGAGCTGAGGATGTGACTTAGGAGTAAAGTGTTTACCTAGCATGTGGAAAGCCTTGGGTCTGATGGCCAGTACCACAGAGAATTCTTAAAAAGTAGTTCTTTTATACTTGGCCTCTGCTTGACAGATAAACTTAAGTGCTGCCATTGATGGCACTATAAATGGTTCCCTCTCTTCCCTCCTCCCAAGGTTTTCCTTGGCTCACTTTTCTGTGAAAAAAGATACCTTGCACACTGTCTTCTCAGTGGTTTCTTTTGCATTCCCCCTCCACCTTCACATCAGCCAACCAACTAGGTACCTCTTCCTTGCCCTTGACCTGTATCTCAAGAATGGTTCCAGATGACTATTTTCATGTCTAGTAAATACAAAGAACATAACCAAAAGTTTTGTAAAAACAATATTTACTGTGAATATTGCACTTTAATGGCTTCATTTTATTCCGTTCTAAAATTTCTGGAACAAAAATTTTCTGTCTGAAGTCCAGTAAATAAGATGATTTTGTGAGTTTACAAATAATGAACGTGCTGGGCACTGGTGGCTAACACGTATAATCCTAGCTATTTGGGGGACTGAGATTGGGTCAGCTGGGGCAAATAGTTCATGAGAACCCCCCATCTCCAAAATAACCAGAGAAAAATGGACTGGAGATGTGGCTTATGTAGTAGAGTGTCTCCTTTGCAAGCATGAAACCCTGAGTTCAAACTCAAGTCTACTTGGGAGGCTGAGGGAGAAGGTTCATTTGAGCCTAGAAGTTCAAGACCAGCCCGGGCAAAACAGAGACACCCTATCTCAAAAATAATTAAAAATAACAAAAATTGTTACAACAACCAAACCATAAGATTTTTGATCTCCTTTTGCCTCTCCAAGACAGTGCACTGAGTAGGCAACCTCTCAAGTTATTACTTTTTATATTTAACTGAAAAAAGATTCACAAACCCAGGTGAATTTACCTAGGTGAGTAATCTTGAAAAGGTATCTAAGAAAAACAGCCCAAGTGTGATTTTAAATGTGTGTAACTCAGCCTCAGTCTCTGGGAATGATGGAAACCTCACTCCCAGAGTGCAAAGCATAGGCCATGTCTAAAGGAGACAGCTGCTATGCAAAAACAGACAGTTGTTGCCAACTTAAATGCCCAACGTGGCCACACACTGAAGGACAAGAGGCAGCCTAAGATACTTTTGTGCAATGTCCAATTTTGTTTTTTTTTTTTGATAAGCTGTTGATATGTTGTCCAGGCTGGCCTTAAACAGGATCTTCTTGCTTCCACCTCCAGAGTACTGGGATTACAGATGTGTACCACTATACCCCACAATATCCTAATTTTTAATACTCGTAACTCAGTTTTGTTTAAATATTAATATTCTTGAGTCATGGTCCCCGCCCTTTTGTTTGTATTTTGTTTTTGATAGGTTTCCCTAGCTTTGCCCTGACTGGCCTCCATCTCCTGAACAACTAGGATTATAGACATGTGCCATCATGCCTGGCTTGGCAACTCATTTTTTGGGGGGAGGGAGGGAGATGGAGTTTGAACTTGGCTTTGTGCTTGCAAAGTAGGTGCTCTAGCACTTGAGCAACTCTTCTAGTCCATCTTGCTCTGTTTTTTTTTGGAGATGGGGATCTTGTGAACTATGTCAGGCTGGCCTTGAGCCTTGATCCTCCTGATCTTACCCTACCAAGTAGTTAAGACTGTAGGAGTGAGTCACTGGCACCTAGCTTAGCACTCATTTTTTAAAAACAATATATCAGTATATGGCAAGAAAATGTGGACCTTGGCCTGCCAATTAGCAACTTCTAAATTAAGAAAAATTCCCAGGGAATCAAACTGAACTGACTAAATTTCAGAGACATTGTATATAACTTTATTTTGATCTGTAGCTTTTTTTTGTTATTTTATTTTGAAGACAGGATCTCCCTATGTAAGCCCAGGCTGGCTTGGAACTCATGATTCTCCTGCTTTAGCTTTCCAAGTTCTGGCTTTACAAGCACTCACCACCTATAGCTGACTGATAGCTTCTTACTAGTAGTTTGAAGCTAGGACATGAACATGAAAGATTCTTTGCATTGGATAGAATTTTCCTGGTAAAAGAAAAAAAGTATTCTCCCCTTTTCCCAAGACTCAGTTCCTTACCAACTTTATCCCCAAGTGACCACCGCCAATGCTAAAATGTTACCTTCTCGGAACATTGCAGTTTAGTGTCTTAGCAAGACAGGTTTGTTCTCTTACCTTGTTCATTATAATTCAGTCTTGGTGAAAAAATAGCAAACCATTTACCAATCACTCTTTCCCAAAACCAGATGTTTGTTTTCTCACAACCATGTCTCCCCATTCACAATACAGACCAGGGACATGGCCTGGGCTGAGGTGTATCTGGGGTAGGTTTGTTTACTTGGTCTCCTCTTTCCATACAGTCAGTGTAACAACACAGCCTTTGGTCTGCACCTGGAGGCCCCACAGCTAGTTTCTGCTCCTGCCCAGTAAATTTGAAAAATTAAATTGAGAGACTTATTTTCTTGGATAACTTCAATAAAACATAACTTCAGTGAAACAATGTGAAAATTTTATCCTGGCATTAGTGCATGAGGGTGACTCATCCTGTTAATTGGGGCCTATTATGACCAGCTTGACTTGTCATTGGCACCAAAACATCTGGCATAACTGGCTTTACTCTCAGACAGGGGAGTTGCCCCCTTTTCCCCACTCTGCACTGGGTTGCTTCCAAAGCTCATCATTTTGAAAGCACAGTGTGTACCTTTCAACATATGATTATTCAAAATGGGAGGGGAATATGGAAGGCTTGAGTAGGAATTCAGCTCATAATTAAGCCCTGGAAAGATGAAATCACACGTTGGAGAGAGAAAAAAAAGTCCTCCTCACTACATGATGAATGGAGACATCTGCAGTTAAGAAGGGTGATTACCTTTTTTCCCCCTCTATTTTATCTTCTATTTATATGCTAACCCTTTGCCTAACGCTCCCTTTGCCAAGAAGGCTGGATTTCTCGGTTTTAGTGATTGCTGCTCAAGGCTGATACAAAACACGCATAAACTCGATGCCCTCCTCTTGGGGATTCAGTCCAGCTTGCCTCAGTCTGCATATAATGGTAGGAGACATATACCTTTTATCTGCTTCTATGAACACCATCCGTCCTTCCTTAGATACTCTAGCTCAAGGCGTTGCGACTCACCCTCACCTTTCTCATCATTCTGGCTTGGAAAGTTTCCCACTTGGGAATGCACACCAATTATGCACAGGATACGCAGGATATGAGGGATGTAATTTGGCCAAAATGGTCATGTTGAAGTTAAGAATAGAAACTCTCTGAGGCAAGCTTTGCCATATAAACACTACCTCACGAGCTCCACTTTTATAGATGAAGAAACAGGTTTGGCGATGTAAAGAAACTTGTTGCATTAAATCAAGATCACACAGTAGATGGCAGAAATAGGATGTAAACCCACCTATTTTTATGGCTGCCTCTAATTGGTGACTACAAATACCAATATCCCTTGCTGTGCCCCATTGTGCAAATGCACACTCCCTCAGGGCCCAGTCCTAGTGGCTGCATCCAAAACCCAATCAGTAGCTGCCTCTTCCCGCGCGCCGACCAATGAGATGTCTGTTGCTAACATGTCGGCTGTATTTTTAGCATTCCGAGCTGAGGAGCGGTGTGGGGGGCTGTCTCCCTGCCGAGGTAGAACTCGCACTGGGGGAGGAGATGTGGAGAGCTGGGGGGAAAAAAGGGGAGGGTGAAGCAGGGAAAGGCGGAGGGAGCGTGTGTATGACGCTGTGCCACTCGCTGACGCACGAGGCAAGTAGTCCCCGGAGGTGCCCCTGGGCTGGAGCGCTCCGAGTGTGGGGGATGGGGCTCGGCCTCTGGCTCCCTCCCGCCGGTCGCCGTGGAGTTTGCCCTCCAGCTTGGCCTTTCTTTTCCGTAGTCAAGAAGAGCGATTTAAATCCTTACGCTCCCATGGCTCTCTGCCATTGCCAGAAAAAAAAAAAAAAATCAAGGAAAATAAAATGCAAACTGTTGGTAACTGGAAACTTTCCGATCTCACCGCCACACGTGAATTCGGAGTATGCCGTTGAGTCGGAACTGTCAGGAATGAGAATAAAGAAGGGGGGCGGAGAAATGGGAAATGGGCCTTCTAAAAAGGCAGAAGACTTCAGCGCTAGCTCTCCGACCCCAGTGCCTCGCGGTCTGGCTGTCCAGTCTGCCTGTGACTTCACTGAAGCACAGCCCTCCCTACGCTAACTCTGCTCCGCACTGTCACGAAGAGGTAGAGTGGCCCGAATTGTCAAAATCAGGGCTGAGGATCCAGGCGCGCGCCTCCCGCGCCCCGTCCCGGGTTTGACCAGCCTTGCCTCGCCACCCGAAAGACCGTCGGTTGTGCATGCTCGGCGCACCTTGCACGGGTCGGCACTACCCCCTGCCACTGGGCTATTTCTAGACGGAATGTGGCACGCTCTTATCCTCCATACGCGGGTCGCCAGCTAGGGAAAGCAAGCGGGTGGGTCTGCAGAGGGGCCGTGCTCGCTGGCCTGCGTGAAGCCAGCGAGAGGCCCTCTTCTGGCGCTGGGAACCCGGTTCCAGTGGCGGAGAGTGAACAGTTAATTGGGGTACTCGCTCCTTTTGCTGGCCGCCAGGCCTCCTCCTCGCCCAGTCTTGCTCCCGCACAGCGTGCCTCAGGCCTCAGATTCCTCCTCGCCCTCCCTCCAACATTGCGCATCCCTCGATGAGTCGTGTGGCGTCCAGAGTACTCAATCGGGTTCAGGCCCGCGTTGTGCCCCTAGTTCCCGAACCCGAGAAGAGACCGGAAGCACAGTGATGTGAATGCTGCAGGGACAGTCACATCCCAGGGCTGGAAGAATGCACGTAGGTGGCCTTGGAAGACCGTGCTAGCAAACGTGCGCACCGCACCTTTGGAGCCTTGGCAAGTGTAAGGCCAAAGAGTCAACTGGGAGTTTTCGGGCCCAGTAATTCCAGCCCTCCTCCCACGACACTGACCCATCCACTACAGCCAGAGCAAATGCCACTGTGTCAGTAGCCAGTCACTGAATACCTACTGTATTTCAGATCGGTTCCTGCCCTCTCTGAGCAATCTACCTAGGGAAGCACCCTACAAGATGAGGGCGGGTTTCAGTATTTTTGAGGCCTGAAGAAAAATACTGCTGGACGCCAGTGGCTCACGCCTGTAATCCTAGCTATTCAGGAGGCAAAGATCAGGAGGCTCGCAGTTCGAAGCCACCCGGGGCAAATAGTTTGCAAGGCCCTATTTCGAAAAAACCCATCACAAAAATAGGGTTGGTGGAGTGGCTCAAGGTGAAGACCCTAAGTTCAAGCCCCAGTACCGCAAAAAAAAAAAAAAAAAAAAAGGAAAGATAAAAAGAAAGAAAGAAAAAGACAAAAAGACTGCGTGAAAGCGCTGTGATGGGGAGAGAAAGGCGGAAGCCTTGCTGAGAAGGTGGCAGCGCAGCATGGTCTAGAGCGCAAATCCGTGAGCCTGTGAGGGTCCCAGACGCACTAGCGCCCCAAGGACGACCCACAACTTGCACCCCGCACCGGGTCGGTAAGGGTTAACTAGCTGCCGGCGGGAAAGTAGTCCCGGCCTGGCGCCGCGCCCCGCCCCGGCAGGGCGGAGGGACGTATCACTCAGGGGTGGGGAAGCCGGATCCGTGCGCAGGGTTGCTAAGGGTGAAACTTTTCATTGACTTTGCTCACTTCGGGCCGGGCGCGGGAAGGTGCGGGTCGTCGTAGGAGTTAACAGTGGCACTGACAACGCGGAGCCAGAAGGGCAGGACAACCCGCCGGCCACTGCCCTGACCATCCTCTGCTCCTCCGGTCCGCCATCCCCGCGCGTCAAAGCTGGCCGGCCCGCCCGCCCTCCGTCCCCTGCCGCCAAACCCGACCTCCAAAAAGCTGAAAGAATTATAGAGTCTTAGCCCATCACCCCCCGTTCTCCCCTAACTTAACGACGAAAAGGACACATCGGTACCCAACCTTGCGGAGCCCGGGAAGGCTGGGAGAGCGACCACCGCCCTGCGCTCAGGACCACCCCGGCAAGAGAAGCTGCCCGCGGCCGGCCCACAACTCGCGGAGACCCGAGTGAGTGTGGGAACATGTGGGCTGGGGCCCACCCTGACACCGCCGGCCAGACCACCACCCCACCCAACCCCACTCGCGTTCCTGGCTTTGCTGGATACTCCATGTCGCTGTCGCCACCCCGCCCCCCACCCCCGGCCAGCATTTCCCTCTAACCCCCTCCTATTCCCTGTGCTTTTCTTCCCTTCACTCTTTCTCTGGTCCCAAGAGCCCCCTTCTCTCCCAGCTCCAAGGGTGGCCTCCTGGGTGGGGTGCACTTCCTCCTTTCCTTCCTCCCCCAGCTCTTCATATTCCAGGTTACTCGTTAGATTTTTCTTGTTCTCCAAAGAAACATAACACCCATCACTGTTAAATAAATCAGAGAAAAGAAGGGGATCCGGGCCTTGAAACTGCTTCTTTTCCTGTGTGTGCGAAAGGGGTGGTAATTATTAATACGGCTTATTTCTGGCCCTGGAACCTGAGAGCTGTAAGTTGCACACTCCATTTTTGGCGATGGGACCGGTTGGTGGAAACTGTCCTTGGATTTCAGAACCGAAATCCATTTCAGCCTGAGCTCTTTATCCTCTTCTGTGCTTTAGGGGAAAACTGGGTGGGAAAAAGTACCCATAGATCCCTAGCCAGTGAGTGGACCCTCCTTGATCTCGGTGGCCTACCTGGGAGGGCGGATTCTACTCCCAAACTTCTTCCTCTCCTGTCCAGGGGATGGACTGCGTCCTTTACCAGAAATCTGGGGAGGAAGAGGGAGCAGACTGGAGGAACAGCCTCCTTCTCTCCCCTGGGAGCAACTTGGAGACCAGCAGACAGGTGCCTGCTCTGTATCTAACCTTTTTTTTTTTTTCCTCCTTCCTCCCCCATTCTACCTTGGGAGTAGGTCCCTCATCTCTTGATTTCCCAGCAGAAAAACACCTCCTATTGCTTTTTTTGGGCTCTTGCCCCCATCCCTCTCTAAGCAGCTTGTGTGGGAGGAAGGATTAGGGAGGTTTAACACCCTGTCGAGGAGCTTTGCGGAGGATCTGGTAAATTTGGTCGTATGGTAGACCTTGCAGTGGGAGGAGACTCGCACACAAAATTTTAAGTATTAGAAAATGATGTTCAGGTTTCAGATGTATGGTTTTCCCTTGCTTGCCCTACAACCACTTTCCATTTCCCTCACCCGGGTCTGGTTACTCAGACTTGGATTAGAAGTGGGGTGAGGCTTGGGCCCTGCTGGCTTAAGGCCTTCTAATTGTCCGCCCGGCGCCTCCCCACAGCGTAACTGGGAGTTTCTTTGGCGGAGAGGAGGGGAGAACTAGGTCTAATTCCTGCCTCTCCTTTCCTGGCTCTGGGGTGCTGGAGCCGAGCCTATTAGGTATTAAGTGAAAAGAGTTCGTTTCTCTGACTGCACAGTCCCGACAGCAACCCGAGATAGCTACCGCCCAGCTCTTGGAATTCAGATTAGGAGGGGACGCGGCCTGTCCTAGCCCACCCGTCACCCATAAAAACTCATTAGAAGCACATCCTTAATTCAGCAGGGCTATGAAGAGAAAGGGGAAAGTTCAGCCCCTCGTGAAGCCGGAACGCGGACGTGGTGGGAGGGATACACCCCAGCGAGCAGGCCTTGGCAGATTTATACGAAATGTCTTGGGCGAAGGGAGGGGGCGCGCGCCCACCGCAGTGCGCATGTGCTTCGGAAACTTTTTCTGGGCTCCTGACCCTTGGCTGGGTCCTCCTGCCGGGCATGCGCAGTGGGGCCGTCTGGGCCCTCGTAGAACGCGCGGGGTAGTGTGCTCGAAAGTAGGTCACGCGCGGGCGTCCGGAGGACTACAGATCCCAGGGTGCAGAGCGCGGCCCCCCCCCCCGCGTTTGCGGCGAGGCGAATCCCCGGGTCTCTGAAATACCTGGAGCGCCCTGCCCTGAACAGAGGCCTCATAGTCAGACTCAGGGTGGCTGGGCTGTGCTGGGTAGATGGTGTGTGACTGTGCGATGTGCAGTCGGCATAAGTCCTGGAAACTGTGCGATCCATATTCTGCCATGTGGTGACTGCCTCCGGGACGGCGGGTGGGATGGGGACTGGCCCTCTCCCGGCTGCGGTGACAGCTACTGACCTTGTTGAGACTGACTCTCAGCCCTTGCCTCACTTTATTTCTATCCGTGAGTGCTTGATTGTAGTATGCTCTGAATGTTAACGATTTAAGGTACATTCTTTCACCATTCTTTCTCCTGTCCCTTTTTAAAATGCAAGTCTTTGTCTTTTTGTTAAACACTTTTCCTAAAACCCAAGTCAGCAGAAGGTATCTGAATCCAGGTTTAACTTTGTGGCTGGAAGTAAACAAGTGAAGGAGTATAAATTTCTTAAACTGGGCAGAATTTACACTTGCAACTTTTGTGTGTGTGTGTGTGTATGGGAGTGCGATTTAAACTCAGGGCTTCAGTGCTTGCAAAGCAGGCGTCCTACCACTTGAGCTTCAGTACATTTTGTTCTGGCTATTTTGGAGATGGTGGGCTTCTCTGAAACTGTTTGCCCAGGCTGGCCTCAAATAGCCATCCTTCCTATCCCGATGTTAGCCTCCCAAGTAACTAGGATTATAGACTGGTGCTTGGCTACTTGCAACTTTTTAATATATTGACAAAAAAAAGGAGAATTTGTTATGCTAAACACTTGTTCACACATACACACCCCTTTTTGCTATTTTTCTGAAGTTTTGTTTGGAAAAGATCCTAAGAGTCTTCAGCTGCGTAATGTTTCTATTTGTTCCTTTTATTGAAGAATAGTTGTTTCTAAGCTTTCTAATTTTACCATACTTCCACAACTATTTTACATGTAAGTTCTAGAACTTGTCCTTCACTTTCTAAAGAATAAACACACTCATTGGTCACTCCTATCTTAGCTATAGATAAGACAGCACCAATTCTTTAATCCTTTGCTTCATAAGCTTCTTGAAGGCAAAATTAAAGCCTGAGCTAATAGAGCAGAAAATCTCATTCTAGTTGTCTGGTATTTTTGTAAGGTTCCACCTCACAGTCATCTGGCCTGGCCTGTTCTCCAATTATAGAGGCAAAGGTGGCATTACACACTTCCTTATTTGTGCACAACATTACTGAGGTATAAGTTGGTATGCAGCTTTAGTTGCTTATGCTGCAGAAAATGGTTCACTAGGCAGGGCTGATGACAATGGTTCTATTGTATTTTGGGGTGGGAGGCTAATTTCCTAATGACTTTGGTCCACATTTAAAATGCTCCCATTTTGAGACTGTACTGTTCAGGGGCTGTTAACTTGGAAGGCAATTATACAGCAAAGTTTAGGAGGCCTATAAAGTTGTAAAATCCCTTTGACCTGGGTAGAATACTAAGACACACATTTTGAGAGGCACTGCAGTACCTTGGAAAAAGTGTCATGTGTTGACTTCAAGTCTGTTTTACTTTTCAAAAATACTTTTTGAGTAACCATTTCAGCAGCACATGTGCTAAAATTGGAACAATTCAGAGACGATTAGCATGGCCCCTGTGCAAGGATGACACGCAAATTCGTGAAGTATTTGGTATTTTTAAAAAACGAACCATGAAAACAATTTTTTTTTTTTTACTTTTTTTTGTGGAGTGGCAAAACTAGGGTTTGAATTCAGGGTCTCATGCTTGCTAGGCAGGCGCTCTACCACTTGAGCCACACCTCCAGTCCATATTTACTCCGGTTATTTTGAAATGAAAGCTCCTTATTCTTTTTACCATTCTTCTCTTTTAACATAAACGGAACCTGGAATTGGTCCATCTTGATCATGAATAGACATTTGAAGAAACCTGAGATCAACTCTGTGTTAGAAGCTGGGATGAAGGAGCAAGTAGGATTTCCTGAATTCTAAGTGTTCCGTGGCAGACTTGGAGAGAGGCACAATCACAGTACCTCTGCTGACTTCCTCTCTGTCTCTCAGACCTGGAATGAGGATTAGACTAGATTGAGCCACTGTCCTATGCTGCTCCAGCTTGACCCCCAGCCCCCTCTCTTCTCAGATACAGTCACCCCAGAAATTTTTTCCTGAAGATTTATTCCTAAAAGTGCTCTTAGGAGCCATGAGCCCAGGCCTTGGAATTAACATGGAATGTGTTGGGGTGGGTGTTAAGAAAACTCAAGACCCACAGCCTGGAGTTAGTACTTGGATACTGCATTATGGAATCAGAAGAGATTTTAATCAAAATTCAGCCCTGAGTCCTTCACAGGAGAGAAGATGCCCTTGGCAGGTCATGGATCGACCTTGTCTCTCCTGAGCTCAACAGCATCTTGCCTTGTCTGGGCAAGGACTTGTTCTGGTCCTGCCTTCCCTCAGAAATGACCCTTTTCAGTTCAGTTTCTCCCTGAGCATGAGTCCCTTTTGGAGAAGGAGATTAAGATTGCTGACTCTCAGAACCTTACAGATCATCTTCCTGAAACATGAGGCTGGCCCATACCTAAGAAGTAAACTTTTTTGACCTCAGTGGGATCTGGCTGTGAGAGAATCCCAAAATAACAATCGGAGTGTTTATCTTGGGCTGCCTTCTCTTCAGGGCTCTCCAAACACTTGATAAATCTGATCCAGTGCCAAGGACAGGTGGTCAGACAGACCCTGGGAGGCTGAGTGATGATGGGTCCCCTGCTGGAGACTAGGGTGATGGAAAATTTCTTCCCCCTGCCATCCTCATCACTTACATGCTTGCCAGGAACTACAGAGATTCCCTCAGGCCATGCCAGTGCTTCTCAGCACTGTTGGTCTCATTTCCTGCTCCTTTCCTCTGCTTTCCTGGGGATCATAGCCTTTTTCCTATTTTTGGAGACTCTCTGGATGGAAATGCAAGCTTTGGAACACCATAGAGTTTGCAAGTTTGAGAACACTATGTAGTTTTTAAATCAGTTCTGCAAATCCAGACTGAGCCCAAAGCATACACTTCCATTGGGGCCTAGGTGACAGATGGAGGTGACTAGAGTCCAAGCTCCAGTGAAAAGTTGGCAGTGCTCCTTCCTGTTCAGTGACCTGTATCCCTTTCTGTTTAAGGAGGACAGCTAAAGATTTTAATCTTACCTCTTGACCTGTGACAGTTTGGGGGCAGGATTTCACCAAGATATTGTGGAGACAACAAGGGCCTTCTCTGGCTGAATTGAGGAGACTGGGGTGTGTGTGTGTGTGTGTCTGTGTGTGTGTGTCTTTCACAGTGACCTGAATTCTCAGTGGTGGAAAATACAGCACCCCTATCTATTTAGAATTACATTAGAATAATATCTAATTTTATCAAGTATTTATTAATTGCCAAGTTCAATGTGAGGCTTCATTTTTGAGCTTCACACTAGCCTCATGTTACCAGTGAGAAAGCTAAAACTTAGGAGAAAGTGACTTGTCCTCTGTCACACAGTTAAAGTAACCATTGGTGGAGCAGAAATGGACCCCTAGATCTATGTGATCCAAAGTTGGTGCTTTTCTTTCTTTTTATTCTTTGCCATTGTTCACCACTGCCTCCTGCATATTTAGTAATGATACCCCTTTCCTTTTATATTTTCCAGAACCCTGTGGAGCCCAAGGTGCCCACCTCCTTTCTCCTGCCACTGCCCTTGGCCTGTGCGTGTGCCCTGCGCTGACTCGCTGCCTGGGAGGATCATGCAGCTAGAGATCAAGGTGGCTCTGCACTTCATCATCTCCTATTTATACAACAAGCTGCCCCGGCGCCGGGCAGACCTGTTTGGGGAGGAGCTAGAGCGGCTTTTGAAAAAGAAGTATGAAGGCCACTGGTATCCCGACAAGCCATTGAAGGGTTCTGGCTTCCGCTGTGTTCACATTGGGGAGATGGTGGACCCTGTGGTAGAGCTAGCTGCCAAGCGGAGTGGCCTAGCAGTAGAGGATGTGCGGGCCAACGTGCCTGAGGAACTGAGTGTCTGGATTGACCCTTTTGAGGTGTCCTACCAGATTGGTGAGAAGGGAACTGTGAAAGTGCTCTACCTGGATGAGAACGAGGGTGGGGGAGCCCCAGAACTGGATAAGGAGATCAAGAGCAGCTTCAACCCTGATGCCCAGGTATTTGTACCCATCGGCAGCCAGGACAGCTCCCTGTCCAACTCCCCATCACCGTCCTTTGGCCAGTCACCCAGCCCCACCTTTATTCCTCGTTCTGCCCAGCCCATCACCTTCACCACCGCCTCCTTTGCTGCCACCAAATTTGGCTCCACCAAGATGAAGAAGGGTGGTGGGGCATCAAATGGTGGGGTTGTGGCCAGCAATGGGGCAAGTGGCCAACAGCCACCACAGCAGCAGCCTCGCATGGCCCGCTCACCTACCAACAACCTGCTGAAGCACAAGAGCCTCTCTTTGTCTATGCATTCACTGAACCTCATCACAGCCAACCCGGCCCCTCAGTCCCAACTTTCACCCAATGCCAAGGAGTTTGTGTACAACGGTGGTGGCTCACCCAGCCTCTTCTTTGATGGGGCTGATGGCCAGGGCAGTGGCACTTCAGCCCCCTTTGGGAGCAGTGGAGCTGGCACCTGCAACAGCAGCAGCTTCGACATGTCCCAGGTATTTGGAGGTGGCACCAACAGCCTCTTCTTGGAGAAGACACCCTTTGTGGAAGGCTTCAGCTACAACCTGAACACCATGCAGTATCCCAACCAGCCGTTCCAGCCAGTTGTGCTGGCCAACTGACCATCCCCACATCCATTAGGCCAGGAGCACCCAAGACCAGCAGAAAACAGAAAGGAAAGGAAAGGAAAAGAAAAGAAAGGCCAAAAAAAAAAGAGGAAAAGAAAACTATACAAAAAGATTTCCAGTTTTACTCTCACTTCTAGAAAAAAGTTCCAGCCCAGGCATGGAGTGGGAGGGGGCTTTGGAAGCACAGTATCGAGTTTAACTCAACCCCCTGACTTTTTTTCCTGCCTGCCTCTGATCTATTAGGTTGGTTTGGGTTTTGTATTTTCTTTCTTTTTTTTTTTTTAACATGTAGGTTTCTATATAACATCTTTGATTAGTGGCTTCCTGTGCTAAGAATGGTCCAGATGTGAATTGCTGCTCCTTGCTCCCTCCCTGCCTCCTTCACACTCCTTTAGGATTGATGTGTCCAAGCTCACAGGGAAGGAAGAGCAGCAGCTAGAGCCAAACCCTCCCCAGAGCAGGGAGAGGCTGGCCTAGTGTCACTGCCTCTGTTACCCAGCTGTCCTCTCAATCAAAGCCATCCAACCTCAGCAGGCCTTCTCAGTCCCTGCCACCCAAATAGGTCTAATCCCAGACCCCACTCCCTCTCAGGCTAGGCCACAGGTAGCTGCTGGCTGGCCACTTGACACCCTCCCCCTAGAGCTGTCTCTGACTCCAGGGAGGTAGCACTTTGTCTAGTTGAAATCCTTTCATCTCTGTCCCATGGCCCCATCCTACCATCTCCTCCTGGCCTAGATGACCCTCATGGCCCTGGAGACCACCTCTCTTTATCCAATATAGACAGTCTCTGAGGTTGTAGTGTGGGGGGGTGTGCGTGTGTGCGCTCTTGCATGTGTGTTTTGCTCTCCTGTGCTGAAGGTTTATGAACCATGTGGGACTTCCCCTCTGGATGTGACTCTGGGTTGCAGCAAGTGCTTATTTATGTATGAGGTTGGGTTGGGGTGGGTTGTCAGTCCTTTTGTAGATCAGTATACCGTGGCTGTGCCTAAGACACTCCCAGGGGAAGGCACTGCAGAAGGAACTGATATCCAGACTGTGGAGGGATCTGCACTTTTGTTTGTTTTTGACCCAAAAAAAAAAAAAGTTAACTTTGAAGGGGGAGAAATACCCAAGCCTCTAATACCTAGAATTCCCTAGACTTTGGTGAGCCTATGTATTACCTTAGCCCAGGGTGAGAGCCCCTCACCTAAGCACCTTTCCGGGACAGGAAAGCAGGGCTGGAGTTTGGAATCAGTGCCTAGAGTGGGCAGTCCTGAGCCTGGAATTGAGACTTCCTGGTCTTTTGGTTGTAAGTGTTATTTTAGTACATTTGTACCCCTGCCTAAGAGCTTCTGGGTTCCTTTTTCTTGCCATTCCCTCTCAGGACCTTGATGCTGTAAGGTGCAGTCTTCTGGGCAGGCCAAACTGGATACCACATGGCCTTCCCTGCTAATGCATCTGGGTGATAGCTATAGCAAGGCACTTGCTCCCTTACCTCTGCAGAAGAGAGGGGTTTTCTCCAACCCTAGGGACAGCTTGCAAGCCACGATGCTTTGGCAAGTTGGGCACTTAGCATCAGGGTCCATCACCAGAAAGCATCAAAGCCCCAGGCACCCTCCATCCACCAACCCCACCCCCACCCTAGGCCCCCGGGTAGGAACTGCTGTGGCAGTGGGTCCGACCCAGACAGACACTGCCAACCTCTCCCTGAAGTGGGCACCAGCTCTACCTCCCCCAGAGGGGCAAGGCCTGGCTTCTCAGCCCAGTACCATCTGTCCCCTAGACCTCAAGGGGCCTGCCCAGTCTGGGGGCTGCCCTCTCCCTTATCCTCAACTCCCACACAGGTGACAGGCCTGGGCAGATGGCTTCTCTCTGGGACAGGTTGGGTGCTGCCTTATCCCTTCCCCAGCCCTTCCTCCCACACTTACGCATACAGGTACCACCTGGACCCAGGCCAGCTTGTTTCTCACACATAGTGAGAGAGGGGAGCCGAGCCTCTCTGTATCCTTTGAAATACGAAGAAAAATACGTGTTCAGGAGCATGAGTCCCACACTGGGCTTTTGGGCCCAATTCAGTCCGTCTTGTCTCAAATCTAGGCATCTTTGCTTCAATTTTATGTTTTTTAAGAAAACAAAAACAAACTGCACTAATTTACCTGGTTTCGTAGGAAAACTTTTTTTTTTTTATATTTTACATTTTTTGGTGTCCGTTTGTATTGAATAATTTGCTACATTTGTAAAATGGAAGAGGTATATATAATATATGTATATTTCTAACATAAGAAACGTAATTTTTTTCTTTTCAAGATTTTTTCTTAAAAAGAAGAGATGAACCGATATTTTTTCAGGAAAAACATACTTTAAAATAAAAAAAAGAGGAGGATAAAACCTTTTTCTCCCCTTTCTCCATCCTCTCTCTATCCCTCTTTCCAAGGAACAAGTCAAAAGGTGGATTACCTTGTAGGGGATGTAAACTGTCAGTCCAGAATGATGGCTTTTTCTCAGTGCAGTGAGCTGTAGATTCTCTAGTTTTCTCAGAAGGGATGGGGAAGGGGAATTGAGACAGTCGCAGAGAGGAACAGGGAAATGACCTTTTTTTCTTTAGTGAAGGAGGAATACAATCAAATATTTTGTATTCAGAATGTTGTGCAATATTGGAATGGGACATTGGTGTGTTTAGATATTTAGTTTAAAAACAAAACAAAAAGACTGATCAAATCTGTACAGTTTATATTGTTCCAGATTTTTTTAAGTTTGTATTAAAAGCATGATATATAATAGCTTTCTGCTCGCTTCTAGCTTGTTTTATTTCTGGGATGAAAAGAATGGGAGTGGCCCAGCTCCTGTGGGCTTCAGGAGACAGGTTGGTCAGCCTCAGAGTGACTGATCTCTGATGGACATAATTGACTCCTTTACTGTGCCCACTGCTATGGTCCTTTTCCATATTGGAAACAGGTTCCGTGAAGTTAGAAACTGCCTCAGATAGTAGGTAGTGGGGCCAAGACTAGAAGCAACTTTGAAATTGGGGTACCTCTTGCTTTTTTAGGAGCTGCCTGTTCTTCAGAGGAGAGTGGGATGAGCTCCAGCCTGCTCTAGATCTAGCACTGCCCACCCATGCCACTTCACCCTTAGGGTGATAAGGTCAAGGAGAGCCCGCCTACGCCAGATTCTGTCCAAAAACCTGGGGCTTGGGTTCTCAGCTCATTTCTTGGGCCAGGCACCTCCAGAGCTGCTTTAGAGGTGAGATGACCCCAACGTCATCTGGGCCTGAGCCCAAGGTTGGAAAGCAGCCATCTTTCTGCTGTCAGCTGATTTCCTTAAGATCTCAGCCACCACCTCCCTCTACCAGGGCCCTGGGGCCATGTTTTTCTTCCCTGAGCCAGTTCCCATTAATGCTATCCACGGTCCCTGGGCTGAACTGAACAGAATATTTGTGAAGATATTTGTTGAATCTTATTTCATCCTCGTCACAGCAGCCTGCTGGTAAAAGGATTATCCCCATTTTGCAGTTGAGAAATGTAAATTAGTAAGTGGTAAAGCTGGGATTTTTGGCTTGTGTCTGACTTTGTACTTATTCAATCCGTTGATGCTGAGCACAGTGTCAGGCTCTTGCCTAGTGGAGAGCAAATCACAGTACCTGCTTTGAAGAGCTGACAGATATTTGCTATAACTGTGATAACTGCTAGAGAAGAAAAATAGAGGGGAGGGGGCCCTTGCCCAAGCTGGGGCAGGGGGCAAGCAAAGTTTGGGGCATCAGCAGGGTAGAGGTATCCTTGGGCCCCTCACTTTGCAAACAGGTCACCTCTTCCCACCCAAGCATATGAGGTGTATCTAGAAGCTTTCAGGCCAAACATACAACCTCTAGACAAGGTCCCAGGAGCCCTGATGTCCAGCCACCTACGTGAGCCATTTCCCCTCTACAGAGCCTGTGGAGAAGAAGGAGGCCCTGGTGCAGACCCAAGTCACTGATGGGGGGGACTTACTCTCCTCTGTCTTGACCTAGAGAAAGCCAGCCCATCTATGTCTCATGGACAGGCATGGGCAGATGGTCCCTAAACTGCTCACCCCTATTGATGTTGCTATAAACACAGGTCCTGACTCAGCAAGTGCTCAATCACTTGCTCTACTCCCTGTCACACACTCAGACCTGAGTGGCCTTAGTGACTTTTAGCCTAGGTACTGAGACTTATCTTCTGGAATAGTCCCTCAGGGTCAAGGCAGAGACACTACAGATTTGAACACCCCCCCCACACACACACCCAATTCTTCATGGCATAGACACAGATCACTCCTACATTCATGGCTCCATTTACTCACCAAATGGAGTGGGAAACATGAAGGGGTAAGGAGCTGTCTGGGGCCCCCGCCTTGCAGCAGGGGAAGAAAGAATACTCCGGTAGACTCAGAAGTTTCCCGTAAAAGGCTTGTCCTCAAAGCCCCATCTATACACTTGACAAACTTCCCCATGGATCCATTCTGCCCTAGGAATACAGGTAGAAAAGCAGTTTGGGGACAGGTATGCACAAGGGGCCCGAAAGCCCACAGATTCCTGAAGGCTTCCTGGAGGAGGTAAAGAAAGAGTATGTTAGCCACAAAGGAGAAAGACAAGGCCCACTCCCCCAGAAGCCCATCAGGGCACCTGTACAGGCTGCCCACCAGCCAAGGGCCCTAAGCATGACCAGAATGACGCCTCAGCTGCTTGCTCTGATTTACACTACTCCAAAGCACAAGGGGTCAGGGAAGAGTCTGGACCCTGCTTCTTAGCAGCACAGGTTCCAATCCCACCCCATCCACTCCCTAGCTAGAGGACCTTAAGAAAATCACCTACTCTGGCATCTCATTCCCTCACCACTAAAATGGGGATAATTGTTACATCCTTGTGAGAATTAAATGAAATAATGAGTGCAAAATGCTGAACACACCAGCATGTTTGGAGCAGAGTAAACAAGGGCAAGTATCGTTTTCATCATCGTGCCATTATTGCCCATTCTCAAACACCACTGACCAGCCCAGTCCAGTCTGCTTCCCTGCATCAGCAAACAGGCCGAAACCCAAGGAGGCCAGCAGCAGGACCAGCTGGGGTGGAAAAGCAAACTGTCCTGCCCTGCCCTCTGCCTAGGCGGGAAGCTGCTAGCCTTAGCGAGAAGATGTACTGTGCAGTATGTCTAGCTCCACATCTCCTCCTCTCCAGGGGCCCAGCCTCCTGCCTTGGGATGGGACAGGCCCTTGACGTGTGTCTCTGAAACCTCCTGGGAGTTCCTCCTAGAGGAAGTAGACAGGCGGGTAGAAGTGAGTCACAGACAGCCCTGTTCCCTTGTCATTGCCTAGCTGAGTCAGTGCCCCTAGGTCAAGGGTTGCCACTGCCTGGGCCCCATCACTGCCACCTCCCTGTGAGTGATACGAGGGGTCGGGGTGGGGGGGGGGGCGGGGACACACTCCCTCCTCCTTGCCCTGGGCCTGGCTAGCCCGGGCAACACCTCCCTAGGCAGGGCCTGTGGACAGCTGTACTCCAGCAGGAAGTCTCCAAACCCTTGAGCAATGAGTGCTGATCCTCTGATGTTCAATTTGGGGACATTCACTGCCAGCAAGAGAAGTGGGTTCCAGGTCTTCCAGGCTGCCAGTGCACTATGTAACCTTGAAAGTTTCTTGACATTCATCCCATTTGTACAACGAGGGACTGTGGACTGGGCCCCTGTCCAGCTAGGTCATTTGGCCAAACTATAAAATCTCTAAAAGAAAACAGAAAAGATCTTTCAGGATACTGCCTGGGCCAGCATCTATTCCTGCCCTGGTGCAGACCCTAGGAGGACCCTGTGTAGCACCTTTCTCAAGAAGAGGGGGAGGAAATGATAGCCATGTCCCTGAGCAAGGCTACCTGGTACAGCTGGGATGCCCCCAAAGCACAAGAATCTAATCAAACTACTGCTGAGCTGTGGTATGGCTAGGTAAGTCTGGGCAGGAGAAAAGGCCTCATCCAGCAGCCTGAACATCCACGCTCTTCTAGCTGTGCCCTGATCTACTTTATTCTACACTGAATATTCAGCATTCAACATGGAGCCTCAGGACTGGGGATGGTGCTTGCCTAGCCTTGTGTGCACAGGCCCTGAGTTTAATCCCCAGCACCACAGGGATAAACTCCTGGCAG